ATGAGTTGCAGGTATTCAACATATCACAGGATCAGGCCTTACACTTGTAGATTAACAGGCCTTGATAGAGCTCTTAGCTGGAATGTACAGTCTTTTTTAAGCACTTCGCTGTTTACACTGTCAAGCTAAATATAAAATATGAGCTCCTTTGGCCCAACAGCTTTGCTGTATCAAAGTGACAGCCTGGGTAACGAAAAAGCTGAGGCTTCATAGATATGCTGTGCTTGTGCTTCAGTAACGGTGGTCATGAGTACATTCTATTGGCCTGGTTGTGAACTAAGGACCTGATCCTTCAAACTGATATGCACAATTAATAGCCCCCAGCACAGAAGGATCTTATAGTCCCAGCACAGGTCATCAAAGGAAACAGTGGTTTCAAAATTAAAACAATTTTGAAGTTATCCTTAGAGCACTAAGAATTAAAAAAGCATTAGTTAGTTCTATCCCACCCAGCCCTCAGTATTATAACCACACCTAAACTGATCCATACCAAATGTCAACAGTAGGGCTTGATTCACAACTACCTTGTACCTTGGTAGTCATTTACAACTGAGCAAAATGGTGCTACAATAGCAGCACGGGCCGAGAGATGTGCTGGCTGCCGATTCCCACCGCCCCCATTGGCCTGGAGTGGCGAACCGCGGCCAGTGCGAGCCACGATCGGCCGAACCTGCGGACGCGGCAGGTAAACAAACCGGCCCAGCCCGCCAGGTGGCTTACCCTGGCAAGCCGCATGCCAAAGGTTGCCGATCCCTGCTTAATTAGATACCCAAAAAGCCACAATCAAGGAAGAAGGCCATACTGATTAAAAAAGTGACCTGATTTAGAGGGGAAGTGAAGGCAGCTGTAAAATAAATAAATAAATGTTAAATGTCTAACAAATGGAAGAAATGGGAAGTTTAGAGTTATGACTATAAATCAGAATGTATGAATTATAGAAAATTGATAAGGGAAGCATAGACACACAAGGAAATCTCTATGGCCAGCAGAATTAAGTATATTAGGAACTGTGACAAAGTTCCTCCTCTATCTTGGTGGGTCCTGCGCTTATTGACAGATTTTCTTGCCTCAAAGATTCACCATGTGGGTTGGGGAACAGCCCAGAGACCTTCCCCTCTGGGAGAACCCACAGTCCAGGTCAATTGGGAGGTTTGGGGGGAAGCCGGGCCCGCCCTCTACTCTGGGTTCCAGCCCAGGGCCCTGTGGACTGCAGCTGTCTATAGTGCCTCCTGTAACAGCTGCATGACAGCTACAACTTCCTGGGCTACTTCCCCATGGCCTCCTCCAAACACCTTCCTTATTCTCACCACAGGACCTTCCTCCTGGTGTCTGATAACGCTTGTGCTCCTCAGTCCTCCAGTAGCATTCACTCTCAGCTCCTTGTGCCTCTTGCTCCCAGCTCCTCACACTCCCCCCAGAAACTGAAGTGAGCTCCTTTTTAAAACCCAGGTGCCCTGATTAGCCTGCCTTAATTGATTCTAGCAGCTTCTTCTTAATTGGCTCCAGGTGTCCTAATTAGCCTGCCTGCCTTAACTGGTTCTAGCAGGTTCCTGATTACTCTAGTGGAGCCCCTGCTTTGGTCACTCAGGGAACAGAAAACTACTCATCCAGTGACCAGTATATTTGCCCTCTACCAGACTCCTGTACCCCACTGGTCTGGGTCTGTCACAGAACATAAAGAATCTTAACAATGGTATTAGTTCATTAATATGTGGAAATGGTAGCATTATCAAAAATAATGCACAAGTGGCAGAAGTGTTCAATAAATATTTTTGTTTTGTATTTGGGGAAGAAAACAGATGACCTAGTCATGTCATATATTATAACACGCTGTCCATTCCATCAGCATCTCAGGAGAATGTTAAAATAGCAGCTACTAAAGTTAGGCATTTTAAAATCAGCAGGTCCTGATAACTTGTATCCAAGAGTTTTTTAAAAGAGCTGGCTGAGAAGCTTGGTGGACCATTAAAGCTGATTTTTAGTAAGTTTTGGAGCACTGGGAAATTTCCAGAAGACGATAAGAAAGCTAATGTTATGCCACTATTTTAAAAGGGTAAACCGGATTACTGGTGCAATTATAGGCCCCTCAGACTGACATAAATCCCGAGCAAGATAATAGTGAGACTGAATTAAAGAAGGGTGATATAAGTAATGCAATCAACCTTGGTTTATGGAAAATACATCCTGTCAAACTAACCTAATGTCTTTTTTAAAGTTTACAAGTTTGGTTGATGAAGCTAATAATGTTGATGAAATATACTTAGACTGTATTTGACTTGGTACCACATGACAGTTTGATTAAAAATCTAGAATGATGTAATATTAACGTGGCACACATTAAATGGATTAAAAGCTGACTTAACTGATAGGTCTTTAAATGTAATTATAAATGAGGAATCATCATGAAATGGATGTATTTCCAGTGGGGTTCCATGGGGATCAGTTCTTGGCCCTATGCTTTTTAAAATTGTTATCAGTGACCTGAAAGAAAACATAAAATCATCACTGATAAAGTTTGAAGATGACACAAAAATTGGGGAAGTGGTAAATAATGAAGAATACAGATCACTGATTCAGAGAGATCTGGATCGCTTGGTAAACAGCACAAGCAAACAATAAGCATTTTAATATGGCTAAGTGTAAATGTATACATCTGGGATCAAAGAATGTAGGCATACTTACAGAATGGGGAACTCTCTTCTGAGAAGCAGTGACTCTGAAAGAGATTTGGCAGTTGAGGTGATTAATCAGCTGAACATGAGCTCCCAGTGTGATGCTGTGACCAAAAGAGCGAATATGATCCTAGGATGCGTAAATAAGTGAATCTTGAGTAGGAGTAGAGAGTTTATTTTACCTCTGTATGTGGTGCTGGTGCGACTGCTGCTGGAATAGTATGTCCAGTTCTGGTGCCACAGTTCAAGAAGAATGCTGATATATTGCAGAGGGTTCAGAGAAGAGCCACAACAATGGTTAAAGGATTAGAAAACCTGCCTTATAGTGATAGACTCAAACAGCTCATTCTATTTAGTTTAACAAAGAGAAAATTAAAGGATGACTTGATTACATGAGGAACAGATATTTAATAATGGGCTCATCTCATAGACTCATAGACTTTAAGGTCAGAAGGAACCATTATGATCATCTAGTCTGACCTCCCGCATGATGCAGGCCACAAAAGCTGACCCACCCACTCCTGGAATAATTCTCTCCCTTGACTCAGCTGTTGAAGTCCCCAAATCATGATTTAAAGACTTCAAGTCGCCGAGAATCCTCCAGCAAGCGACCTTTTCAATCTAGCAGAGAAAGGTATAACAGGATCTAATGGCTGGAATTTGAAGCTAGACAAATTTAGACTGGAAATAAGGTGTATTTTTTTCGACAGTGAGGGTAATTAACCATTGGAACACTTTACCAAGGGTTATGGTACATTCTCCATCACTGGCAATTTTTAAATCAAGACTGGATGTTTTTCTAAAAGATCTGCTCTAGGAATATTTGGGGGAAGTCTATGGCATGTGTTATATAGGAAGTCAGACTAGATGATCACAATGAAGTCCTCTGGCCTTGGAATCTTTTAGTTTATGAATCTTCCTCTGTTCTTCCTCTGTCTTTCACTCCCCCCACAACCCCCAGCTTCCCAAACAACTCTTCCCCTGTCCTTCTTACAAAGGACAGTTTCTCCTTTAAATACCCCCTCACCAAGTAGTTCCACATTCTAAGTCCCACCTGAGTCTGTGTCAGTGGGAGCTGCTTGGATGCTCCGTACTTCTGAAAATCAGGACACTTACTTAGTTGCCTAAATATGGATTTAGAAGCCAAACTTTAGACATTTTTAAAAATGTTGGTCAATATTGGTTAGGCATTCAAAGTCAGGAAATACCAAAGTTAAGTTTGCATGTGTAACCTTAACTATACCCCCTTGTACATATGCTGTGTTTAATTACATTATAATATACACTATTAAATATTGTCATATAATACAGTTTTTCTATAAGCATGGATGGAGCTTCTTATAGAACTGTGTACTATAGAATGATTATTATTTTCTCAATGTACTTTTAATAGAAATGACTTTGTTGATTCTACTTAGCATACAAAATAGCTTCATTATTCAATAAAAGTAATCACTTCTTTGCTCTGGTAGATTCTGCATAAAACACTTAATTATTCAACCAAGTTTGTATGTTTTTAAAGCAGAGTTAGAGCAGAAATCATGTCTACAGTCATCTTGTCTACAGATAAAGCTTATTTTTGTAGTAATGTATATGTTATGTATATTTGTGTCAAACTCTTTGGCCTTCATTTATACTTTATAAAAAAAAAAACATGAATACATTTTAATTAAGAAACAGTTTAGGTTCACAATAAAAGCAAATGCTTAGAGAACATTTAAACACTTAGAAGCTTACTGCAACCTTACATGAAACCTTTTAGAAATGGTCTGTAGTTTTAAAAAATCCAATTAACATTCTTTCTATTAGAAACGGGTTTTCCTTTTATAAAGACAAAACCACTTTTTTCCCCCAAGAGACAAGAAATTCATACAAAATTCTACCATCTTCATTTTTTATAAACAGAACAAATAATAAGTAGCTGTTTACAACACTCAATAATGCAATCTAAAGGACTAACTGATAAATTAATTGGAAACTGTGGCTCTAATACATTATTTTGGAATCTAAGCACATTAGATTGAATTGTTTCAGAAGCAGCATGCCTAATTATTGTATCTTCTATATTCATCTGTTTGAGTCATTCCCAATTTTTGGATTGTTGCCTAGAATATTGCTGCAATACCTGTTTCAATTGGTTATTCCCTTGTCATGAATAACTTCATGAAAGAGGCTGATTTTTAATATTTTGTTTAATTTAAGTCTGCACTAGTTTACTGCATTAACTGCACATTTTCAGTGTCCATGATAAAAATGTGGTGGTTGTTTTTCAAAATGTTGATTTTTTAAAAGGTTGATTATAAACTGATATTTTATTTGTTTTGTCAGGTCAATTATTAAAAAGTGCCTTTGTGAAGTCACTTTTACGAGAGAGGACTGCGACGCCTGAATGTGTTTTCAAAATATTATCTCTGCCAGCTAGACATCGCCCTGACCTTATATGTCACAGAAGACACCTCAACTGTCTTGGTTTGCCAATTGCTTGTTGTGAAACTGGCTTCCATATTAAAAAAGCTGAAGAAAGAATTACTGCCAGGACGTGAATAAGCTGACTGCATTGCTTTTCCTGTGTAATCAATACCAGCAAGCAGCCTGCAAAGAATTAATATTATATCAAGGAGTGCCATTGCACTGAAGTAACTTTATTTAAAACAGTTGTGTCAGCGATCCAATCAAGAGACTCAGATATTTTACAGCCAGAGATGCTACTGAGCATGATTTTTTTGCAGCCAAAAGTCTACAAGTGGGACATATTGATTGATGAGTGACTGCTTGCTGATAAATTGTCTTTGCTCATTCTGCTTTGTGTGTATTGGGCTCCATTAAGCAATTTATTACTTCATTGCCGATAGAAAAAAAGCACAGAGCTTCTCTCTCTCAACTATAGTTTTTGGAATTGTTGTAGATTGGCTTGGCATAATTCACTTAATAGTCATTCACAAAACCTAAATCAGTTTTCCATCATGGCTTTGAATGTTGCTCCTGTAAGAGATACAAAATGGCTGACATTAGAAGTGTGCCGACAATTTCAGAGAGGAACTTGTTCACGCTCTGATGAGGAATGCAAATTTGCACATCCCCCCAAAAGTTGCCAGATTGAAAATGGAAGAGTTATTGCCTGCTTTGATTCCCTAAAGGTAAGGAAGAAAGTTGCATGTGTTAATGAAAATACTAATGTTTTACATCAAAAATATAAATAATAATTTCATCCTAATGTTCATACATTCGAAACAATTTGTTCTAGGAGTACTGCATGTGTTCCAGACTTTGTTTGTCTTAAGTTTTGTTTATTCAAGCTTTAAAAGAATTTGTGTTTCAGTGTTTTCCTGTCAGTTGTAAATGTCTGTTGTTTACACATCCAAACTGTGTAAGACTATGGAATGCCCGATTATTGACATCTGATATGACCATTGTGTTCACACGAGTACCTTTCATGCATTATCATTGTTCCATGTCAAATGAAAACAAATGTCTGGTTTAAAACTTAGGCCATTCTGCCATTGATAATAAAGCAAATTACAATAAATTAAAGGGTTTAATTTAGATCCACAGAAGAAAGAAAACAGAGTTATGGCCTTTACTTCAACTTTAACTCACCGTATCATGCCTACTCTAGGTATTGGGAGGTCTAAGCTGAGTCCATAGCATTACTAGTCGTATGTACTGCTATTTCTACAGTATAGACTATGAAGTAAGTTAAGAATAGAGTGGAAGCTTACAAGTACACTCTTAAGAGTTAACATTGGTAGACAGTCATGTTTCTTAACTTCTCATATCTTAAAACTTACTTTCGCATTGTTAAACAAACGAGGCATAAACTTACGGGACTTTGAGACAAAAGCTTTTTATGTTTAAGTATATATGCATATTTTTAGCATATAAAAACAATCAGTTTGACAGGAGGGAGAAATACAACTTGAATGATAGGCATGTTCAGGGTACTCGTAAGCTGCCAGAAGCTGGTCCAGGTTTCTCTTTAATGACAGGTCGGTGCTGGAGTGGCGGCCTGTGAGAACATCTGAGGCTTTCTGGTGTTGAAGACAACAGTTATTTAAAGAATAAGGAAAAGTGTAGAGTTTATCAAAAATGTGAGTTTGAATGCAGGAAAAAATAAGTGAAATGTGGTGGGAAAGAACAAGTGGTGAGCAGGCAATGGGGCCACTTACTGTTTTCTCTGTTTTTTTAGTTGGCTGAGATTTTGCCTATTTTATCCATTAGCTACAGCGTGAATTTACACCACTCAAAGACAGGGCTGGTGCAATACCCTGACCCATATCTGGCTGTAGTGGGAGTGAGAATGATTGAGGGAAAGGGGGACTGATTTTGTAGAGGACAAACAATTGTTGCTGCTATCACGAAAGCAAGAGATCAACTCACTGGGCTTACCATGAGAGGGAGGCCTGTCTAGGTTTTGTATGAACAGGTAATTGGCTCTGTTGGGCAAGGCAGCTTTGGATTTTCCCCCATCTGAAGTCAGTTATCATAGTCTTTGACTTCACTGCAGTGCTCAAGGAACGGACCGCCCCACTCTGATTCTCTGTTTTCCACTGACTTGAGGTTACTAGTTATTGGGTGAGGTCAGCTGTTCTTAGGCAGGAGCAAGACACCTGGCTGAAGTTGGTTAATTTCATTTCAAACCTCTCTGCAGAAAAAGACAGCATTTCCTTGGCTTGGTCAAGCCTTCTGGGGAGGGATTTGCCCTGGCAATTCTGCAGAGATAGGTGTGAGGCCCCACAGGTCTCTAAGCAACCCACGTATCCCAGCCACTCTCTGGCAGTTTGCTGGGCTGAGTGGCTCATGGAACCCTAGCCCCACCAGAGGCACCACCCACAGGAGTCTTGATTGGGAGAGTGCTTGGACCCACCAGTTGGTCTGGCTGTACTACTTAAGTCAGAAAGAGGCAACTGGGTGAGGCCCTGACTGGCTCCTACATTGGACCCTGCCTTCTTGCCTGAGTCCTGCTTTGCTGCTGTGTTCCTGATCCCTGTCCTACGACATTGACTCTGGCTCTGACCCTTGGCTGGAGTCTCTGATTCTGATTCCGACTCTGACCTTCAGCCCTGGCATTCAGCCTCTGACTCTGATTTTGACCTTTGGCTCCGAATCTCAAGAAAGAGATCTTGGAGTCACTGTGGATAGTTCTCTGAAAACATCCATTCAATGTTCATCGACAGTCAAAAAAGCAAACAGAATGTTGGGAATCATTAAGAAAGGGATAGATAATAAGACAAAATATCATATTGTCTCTATATAAACCCATATCTTGAATACTGTGTGCAGATGTGGTCGCCTCATCTCAAAAAAGATATATTGGAATTGGAAAAGGGCAACAAAATGATTAGGGGTATGGAACAGCTGCCATATGAGGAGTGATTAATAAGACTGGGACTTTTCAGCTTGGGAAAGAGACAGCTAAGGAGGATATGATAGAGGTCTATAAAATCATGACTGGTGTGGAGAAAGTAAATAAGGAAGTGTTATTTACTCCTTCTCATAACACAAGAACTAGGGGTCACCAAATGAAATTAATAAAGAGCAGATTTAAAACAAACAAAAGGAAGTATTTCTTCACTCAATGCTCAGTCAACCTGTGGAACTTCTTGTCAGAGGATGTTGTGAAGGCCAAGTCTATAACAGGGATCAAAGCAGAACCAGATAAGTTCATGGAGGATAGGTCCATCAGTGGCTATTAGCCAGAATGGACAGGGATGGGGTCCCTAGCCTCTGTTTGCCAGAAGCTGGGAATGGGTGACAGGGGATGGATCACTTGATGCTTATCTGTTCTGTTCATTCCCCTTGGGGCACTGGCATTGGCAACTGTTTGAAGACAGGATACTGGGCTAGATGGACCTTTGGTCTGACCCAGTATGGCCTTTTTATGTTCTTATCTGGCTTGACCCTTAGCTTTGGCATCCAGCCTCTGGCTCTGTTTTCTGGTACATGACTCCTTCTCTGACCACTAGGAATGACTGCCATGTCCCAGTCCCTAAAACTAGCTGCCTCATGATCCTGGCAAGGGTGCTGAGCAAAGAGATGATTGTTTGGGGTTTTTTTCTGGATGGAACAAGTGCCAGTCCAAAATGCTGTGGTGGTTGGATGAAGGAAGGTGGTAGAGAGCCTTTCCCTCCAACCCCCCAGCTGAGACCCATTGGTTACAGGAGTTGGCCTTCCTTTGAAGGGCTGCCAAGATAGTGTGAGGACATAATATTTCATCCCTCATCTTCTATCAACTCAGGTTCCTTTTCTCTAGGGCTGGATGGAACATGCCATTGGAAGTCCTGGCTCACTGAAGCTGTCTGTCCTTGGCTAGATGTTTTAGTGCCAAGGAACAGAAAGTACTATCCAGATCAAACTGGCACTCTGTAGAGAGTAACTTTGCACATACCAATAGACTGCCACTTAACCGTCTGACTGTGTCCTTGATTGGGGTGAAGGGAGGTGGGAGTGACTTGAACCTTTTTTCTGGGCTTTGGGGAGTATGATAGCATCAGGAAGCATAAAGTGGATTTCAGCGGTGCTTGGTGTTTAGCTGGGCCAGTGGGAGAAGGTGGATGGTAGTGCGGAAAAGTAAAAGTTAAGCTGCATGTGTGCTGAAGAAGACTTGGCTAAATAACGCTTTCTGGGCACTCTTTCATGGTGTGGCTACTCTGACCTGGCAAGACTCCCGCAGGCAGTGGTGCCCAACCATACTACACAGGAGGGCCATATAAACCTAAGCACAACCTTGTGTGGGCCAAACAGATTCTACATATTTTAGTTAATCATAGAAATCAGGGTTAGAAGGGACCTCAGGTCATCTAGTCCAACCCCCTGTTTAAAGCAGGGCTAATCCCCAGACAGATTTTTGCTCCAGATTCCTGAATGGCCCCCTCAAGGATTGAACTCACAATCCTGGGTTTAGCAGGCCAATGCTCAAACCACTGAGCTATTCCTCCACTTTTACTGATTTATGTTTTAAGTTCAGCTTGTTTCGTATGTATTTAGATAGGTTGTTTCTTTGTATAGTACTGTTTACTTGCAGACTTGTGTAAACTAAAATGATGTAAACATGATGACAAAATGCTAATGAATCGGCTGTTAGTATATTGTGTTGAAGCAGGCCACAGGCCTTATGAAATGCTCTGCTGGGCTGAAGGTTGGACATCCCTGCCCTAAGCCAAATGTATCCTCTTGTATTCTCATTTTCATTCTGAGTCAGCCAAGACCCCCTCCCCTCCCAATTGCTGCCCAGAGGTACTCTCTTAGCCTCTGCTTAGTCAGCTGCCTTATTCTTATTTTTTTGGTGCAGAGTCCTCCATTTCTTTATTTTCCAGCCTCTTCCACAGAATAGACTGTTCCCACAGAAGAAAGTTTCCTTTTCCATGGTAAGTGCCACCAACAAATATCTGGGCTTGTCTACATGCAGGATTGTGCCGATTTAACTAAAGGTGTGATTTAAAATGGACTCAGTTAAAACTGGTGTGTGGACACACTTCAACCAATGTAAACCTGGTTTACTTTGATTTATCTTAAGTTGATTAGGAACAGGTGTAAACTAAATCAAAATAAGCTACCCTTAAACTGATCTGAGTGTGTCTAACCAGGGTTTTGCACTGGTTTAAGTAAATGTTTAAAAACTGGTTTAAGTTAAACTTGTGCAATTTCAGTGTGTAGAAAAAGCCTCGGTCTCTTTTGTGAACAGTTTCTACCTGGCTGGCTGCTGCAGCATCACTGCTGAGAGCATATGAGGCCACCCTGACTCCTGCTGGCACCCACTTCAAGTGCCAGAGAGCTGTCAGATTTTAAAACTTTGGGCACCTTAATTTGACTTAGTTGTTAATTATCCATTGCATGTGGTAATGTGACAAGCTGGCGATGTGCCAGATATAGCCAAGCTTTAAATACATTACTGATGAATTTAGGTGCCCCAATTTTTGAGTGAACAACCAAAGACACTTTGAAGGGGCCTTAATTTTTCAGAGGATAGGTGGTCAGCACTTTCTGAAAATTGCCTTGAAGATGTCTCAAATCGGACACTTGAAAATTGAGATTCACAGAATCAGCTGTTGCTTTTGAAAACCTTTAGCCAATCAGGCACCGATGTTCAGCAATCACCTTATCAGCAGAGTACATATAAGCAAACTGCCAAGTGTCACAC